GGCAAGGAAATGGATTCTCCCCTAGAGCCTCCAGAAAGGAACGCAGACCTGCAGACGCTGTGCTTTTAGCCCAGTGAGACCAGTGTCAGACTTCTGTCCTACAGAACTATCAGATAAGAAATTACTGGTATTTTTAGGCCACCGAGTTTGAGATAATATGTTACGGTAGCGATAGGAAACTCATATACATGTCTTCTGGAAAACAGTAGTGCTGACTCAGAAAGCAGAAAGAAACCCCTAGCTGAGCACCCTGAATCAGTCTTGGCTTGTTGCATGTTGTAATTCGATACAAGTGAAAAACTGCAAAAAAGAATACTAATAAAACATAAGCTTGAAATAGTTACTCATATGAAAGAGTAAAATAACATAGTGTATAGCTAAATACATATCAAAAGAGGATGGGTGAGCAATTGGTTATAAAAAATAATAGAGTAAAGGGTTACAAATATATTCAGAGAGTATAACATTAAAGCACAGATGCTTTTAATGTTGAGTACTAAATATTGTCAACACTGCCCATCCTTGGAAAGTTCTACCTTATTTCTAACTTGAAACTCCATTATCAAAACTTCTGATCATTAAATTTAATCCTAACCTTGGTTAAAAAAAAAAGAAAGAAAAAATTGTTGTGGACTTATATAGGACATATAGGTCTTACATAGGAAGACATAACAGACAGATATTTGTCAACAGCTAGTTAGTTACCCTTTGAGCAAGATTTCTTCTAAATAGTCCCCCAAAGACAATGTATGATGATGGAAAGTATTTATGTTTTAGAGTCTGGAATTGAATGCTAAATCTAATCTTTTGAGCCATGTGAACTTGGGAAATATTTTATGACTCGCTTTACTCCTCTGAAGAATTTATTTCTTTCAAGTTATTGATTGAGTACCTAATATAGAGTAAGGAAAATGTTATCCTAGTTAATTCTCGCAGTAACATTATGAACTAGAAATTCTTTTCCACAGGATCTTTCTACTTGTCTAATATCTCCTGCTTTGTTATTTTGAGGGTTAAGTGAGATAATTGTGAAAAATGACAACAAGTTTTTCTCCTCTCTTTCCCTATCCCAGGGACTTGGGGAAAATGCAGATGTTAAATCAGAAAAGACAGTACTTGTCTCCATTCTTTGGATATGTAGAGCTACCAGAACGAATAAAATAGGAAAAGAGGTAAGCTTAGTATGTTTCCTAGGATTTAGATATACTGGAAATGTCCCTGCAGGACTTTAGCCCCAAGATTGCATCACAGATCATAAAACTCTATAGCTGTGTTTTTGTCCTGAGTTCACATTTACAGTACTAATACTGCTTTCAGCAGAAGTCATTTCCAGGGAATTAAGTCCTTGCAGTCAGTGGGTTAAATCCCCACGAAATAACCTGCAGTGACCCAGTTGCATTGGCCTCAAATATAGAATTTCAGATCAATAGCTGCACTACTTGGATTCTGAAATATAAAACAATCTCTGGTGTTTTTGTTACCCCAATGAGTGTTATCAGACAGGGGATCGCTATGGCAATTACAGGTTCTTATCATATTAATGTTTGTGTTTGGTCCAAAAAGAAACTATTTAAAAAAGTAAATGCCTTCTGTTCTTTTTTCTCGGAATATGTAATGATGCCTTTCAAACATATAACGAGAATTAACAGTAATTCCAATGGCACAAGTGGTCATTAACTGCTTGTACATGAAATAACATTTCCTCCTCAGAGGGCAAAGCATTCCAGTTGGAAGTAAAATTCCTTTTGGCCTATTCACTTTTAAACTCTGTCCTGAAAGGATAACAGATCTCTCAACCTCTCCTAAATAAAACTGTTAAGCCTAGGATTGAGGGTAACGAAAGAGAAAAGGGAAATGATGTTATAGTGACATGAACCGTAACACCGACTGACATGGTGGTGTGCTAGTGTTTGACCAAAGAGCAGAAACCACTTCAAGTATTTACACAAACAGAGGGAATTAATTTGATGCAGGGGACTGGTTACCCATGTGATGAAGAAGCTGAGAGCCCAGGAAGGAAGAGCGAAGTAACGAAGAAACCAGCCCCTGCAGGAAGCTACTACCAGGCTGGACGGGCAAAGAGAGGAGGGTCCGCATCACTAGATGGCAGCTGGAACCAGAGCAGGTCTCTCCAGTCAAAGCTGAAGCCGTGGACAAGATGGACCCTCAGGTAGAGAAACTACTTGAGGCAGGTGGGTGGACAAGAGAGAGGGGGTAGAGGATCAACTAACAAACTAGCTGGTCTTTTCCCTCCCTCTCTCTCTGCTCTGTACTTCCAGGGTTTCCACTGGCTTCGGCAGCAGGAAGCCAGCCCTCAAGAGCACCTGGGAAATGTAGCTCGCTGGGGTCAACCCTCCTAGGTTACAGAGCACAGCGTGAGCTGCAGAGATCGGATGGCCGAGAGGCCCAGAGCCAGCATGGATGGACATCTTCCCCATGAATTTCCTTTACCTGGTTGCTTCCTTTTCAAAAGAAGGCCAAGAACTCACGGGCAGGTCTATTGAGCTTCTCACTGTGTAGATTTTAGAGGAGGCAGGGAGAGGTATGATAAAACCCATCACCCCTTTGGGGCTGGATATAAATGTCTTTATAGTTTTGAAAGATTTTTTACTAGATTGGTAAAAATACCTACTCTGGTGTAGTTTTACCATTGCCAAAGGGGAGGTGGCCATTCTCTCATTGCTTAAGGATATTTAAATATGAACTACAACCTAGAGCTGAGTTTAGTTGAGTTTACCAGAACTGACTTCAAGATTCTGCCCAAAACACATGGGTTAGTAAACATATGCCTCTGTCCAACATCTTGACCTAGTTCTCCACCATACAACCCTGTTGGTTAGTCCTTCCATTTTCCATAGCAAGAAATAATAGGTACTGTTTTGAGTTAGGTAAAGCAAGGTCATTAGGTGGATTCTCCTTGCCTTAAACAATGAAGGAAAAACTACCTCCCTGTTTCTATATTACATTCTCAGACAAAGCTCAACTGAAGAAACACTGTTAGCATCTGTACAGTATCCTACAGTTTTAAAGGACTTTCTTCAGCACTATCTCTTTCGTGTTTGCCATAACCCATTTTATACATGTTGCCGAAAACCCTTGCAATAGCCATTCGTCACAATAGCATGCTGCCACTTCAACTCTGCCTTGTTCCATTCTGACTATGCCAGTGTTTCTGAAATTCTGTTCAGTGAGGGTTGAGTCTATGATAGTGCAGAGATGGTCCTACTCTTCATAGAAATTCAAAGGACATGCCCTCACATGCCCTCTGAGGGCCTGCTTCCCCTATCTCTCAAGCTAAGGGAACGGCTTGCTTTGTATCTTTAGAATCAGGTGACCTAAAGGAAGCTTAAATGATGGGTTTCTATATCACAGCCCTCAAATCAGCACATGTACAGGTATGTTCACAAATAACATATTCCTCACCTAAAAGTCCGGAGGCCATGATGTGAAATTTGTATGACTTCTTTAAATATACATAATCAGAAATAGGTACCGAAATGCAAGTTTCCTGACTTCCTACCAGAACACTGTGCTAACATTGCCAATAATCTTTCATGCTCGCCAGCCACGTTCCAAGACAGAACATCGGAATAAGTTGTTATGGAAATGCATGCTTATTTATTATTTTCTTTATTCCTCCTTTTAAAAAGTTGAGCCTGGGAACCATAAAATGCTGTTCTCCTTGAGAAGCAGAAAGCTCATGAAATAAAAAGACAGGGGTTAAGAGGCCCAGCCTTACCTCAAAACCCATCGTTAGAGCACCTGCTGCTATATTCAACAAGAGCAACAATGACAACAACAAAATCTGACATTGTGAGCAGACAAGAGGAAGACCTTGGGGAAATAATTTTGCTATATTCCTCTTGATATCATTTGGTGACCAGAACTTTAAAGAAGTATGAAGACTTGTGAAATGGGAAACAGAATAAAGGGCATATTGAGGGGCTGTTCTCCAACATGGGCCCCCCAAACCCCCATGCCCACTAATGGGAACACTGCACACACAGCCATCCTCTATCAGACCTCCTAAGCAGAGCAATTTTTTTTTTTCTTGGAGATTTTTCTCGTTTGGAATTTAATTAAGCTCCTGCCAGGCTTGCAAGCTTTTTAATTTTACCTTTCTTTCTTCTTTCTTTTTCCTCCTCAAATCAGCTTTCTTGCCAGGAAACTTTTTTTAAGCTGTCACAGTTATAGTAAGTGTACCCTAAGATACTAAATTTAGATGTACTAGTAGTTGCTTCTCGAAGCATCAGTAGCAAAAGTTTCCTTGCATTTGGAAAGATTTTTATTCATTCACTCATTCATTTACTCATTTTGACTTAAGTGTGTGTGTTCTGAATGCAAAAACAATAGAAAAGGAAGCTTCCTGGAGTGAGTGTACAATGACTACTGGTTGGTATGTGATATAATTCAACCCCCTACAAAGTCACCAGCTTAACCAAAGAAACCTGCCAGTACTTAATTTAATATCACACTGTTCATAAGAAAATTGTAGCTGACTATTTACTAGTATTGGTGGGCGGAGGGTGAGGGAGCCTCAAGAAAGCGATGCCTGAGTTGATGATTTAACACCTCTCTAATGAAACAAAATGAAAGTCCCTTAAGTTCTTTTTCAAGACCCTTTTGTACCCAAACTCCTTGCCAATCCCAAAACTCTGAAAGGTAGGTGCTGAGAATGCCAAAGGTGATCCCTTCAAAACCGATTCCGTGAGAAGCTATTTTCATTTGAGGAGGTTTTAGTTGAAAAGCAACCACTCTAAATAGGTTACCCTATTTTTTTTTTAAACCAAAAACCAAAATCCAAAACAAAACTCAGATAATATTGCACGGCCAGAAATAAAAATAAGCCATCAAAAACACAACACAGTAAATGAAACGTGTGGAGCGTTGGGGGTCTTATCATCTCCACGATCACTATTCTTGTCCTTCTTATTGTTTACTTAATAACTCCACGCTGCCAGGTTTCTCCACCAAGCACTCCAGTCTGTGAGGTTACTTACTGATCGCTTCCACAAACGGCTCAAAGAAGCTGTAAGGGAAGAGCGGCTCAGGCAGCTCCCGGAAAAACATCTTCAGTGCTCCGGTGACAACGTGGATGTCCTCCCACTGGCTGTCGTCCAAATTCAGCTTCTCTTCTGGGAAAACACGAGGAGAAATGGAACAACTGGTTTTAATGAAACAATTACAAGACACTAATTATTATGTTAATGTTTGCCTACTATCATCAGCAACCGTTAACAGCCTTCTGCACCTAGAGGTTTGGTGCTGTGCATGTTTTTTTTTTCCCCCCTTTTTCCGTAGGAAGGGAACATTTTCAATGGAATACCATCTGTAGGAATGCAGCTAACAAAAAAACAAGAGACACAAAGAGGCAGTGCCATTGACACAGTATGTCAGATACATTTATTCCCATAATGCATCAGTATGAAAATTAGCATCACAGCTCAACATGATTCAAAGCTATTTGGTTCTGAGGCCGAGGGGCTAAGAGTTGCCAATGATGGCCGGCTCAAGGGACCGGCCTAAAGGCCTTGCTGAGCCAACAGGAGACATATGCTAAACATGGCAATAGAAAATGAGTTATTGCTTTACATGTGTTAGCCTTGCTATGTACAAGGGAATAATGGGTAACAATTTTTTGCTTTTTTTTTTTTTGCTGAATATAAATTCAGCAAGGAATAGACTACTGAGTGAGAAAGGATATTAATTCCTTCTTACTGCTTCAAAAATACCTTTTTTCCTTTTTTTTTTTTTTAGTTATCATCTCAGCGAGGAAAATGTGCCCAGCAACAATATTAGACAGACCCCTGTTGGCCTATGGAGGCTATGCAAAGCTGTCAAAAATGATAACACACTAAAGACAAACCCCAAGTGCTTACCAACTCCGCCTAGAAACAACAGACATATTTGCTTGGGAAGCTTGAGTGAGTTGAGACATTTAAATATTAAAGAACATAAATGCCAAAATGAAGTTTTTAGAAGAAATAAGGAGACTCTGGACAATTATTTTCTTCTTGTTCACTCTCAAAAAGAAAGTCTGGAATCATTCTCCCCCAAGAAGTGGATGTGGCAGGGTCTGAAAGGGACATCTTTACACACCACTGAAAGGAAGCAAGGCAGAAAAGCATTGCTGTTGTATTTGTCTTTGTAAGCATGCAACGCGAAAAAGATTTTGAATTCTGGGCTGAATAAAAACTAAAGCTAATCCTTTTAAACAACCTGGGAAGGGGCGGTTAACTGAAAAGCCTGGTATCCTGGCCAGAACTTCACAGGTACCTGGTCCACTGGAATTTTGTGTCTTTCCCGATGTCTTGGGTTCGCATTCACATGCCCCCTTGGTGTCAGTTTTATGAGGCAGAGGAGAATCTGCACCAAAAATGTGAGAAAAACTGAGAATTGTCACTGTGGGGAATCTCTGCACGGGCTGCTTTGTTAATAGTGTTCGTGTCCTTTTAAAATCTTAGCCAAAATCTTTATCAGCTCTCTTTTTCTAAATGGACTACTATCTCCAGGGCTGGTAAGTGACGTTCCTGTTCAATAGGACATTTGCAAAGAGAAGGAAAGAAGGTGCATCTGTTTATTTCAGATGGCCAGTTTTTAATTCCCTTTCAGTCTTCATTCTTACCTCAGTCATAACACAATAATATGATCCACAACAAAATCAGCGGAAGAGACCTTCTTTCTGCCCTGCAATCATTTTTGATTGATTGTATTTCAACAATTAGTCTTTTATTTGGCTACATACTATTGAAATAGGCCGACAGCATCTTAGCAGGCCAGCTTTAAACAGTCAACTGTTAACAATAGCATCAAAAAGGGAGACCTGATGGGGTTTACTGTCACTTTAAAGAACGGGGTTTTCACATTGTTGAAATCTGTCAGATATTTTGAAATGTCCCTCTCACTATGGTGCCACACCCCCTGCGTGCCCTTATAATAAAATTGGTTTTACTCCTGATTAAATCATTTTCTCCCTACCCACTACCATACTTCTCATAATGGACCTGTGCGCTCTACAGCTGGTGTTCTTCCCATGGTACCAATTCTTACTTTATCTTTTAAGCACTTTGCTGCTAAGATCTCATGCAGAGTGCTTATGTTTTGTTAAGAGCTTCATTCTTAGAGAAATAGCTTAACACATGTTCTAAAAATGTTGTACAACTTATTGCTTAAAACACATTTAGAAAATGTATAAGTACTGTAGCTTTGGCACTGAACTTTAAGTGGAAACCTAAACACACACACACACACACACACACACAAACACATGTGTTCTCACACACACAACTATCTTTACCAAATATTTATCAGAAAAGTCCAAGTCAAAATGCCATTCTGGTGCACAGGTTCAAGATTGCCAAAGGAAAGTGTTCAGTAGGTAAAAAAAGAGGTTTTATCTGGAGCAAGAAAACAACAAGAACAAACAATTGCTTGACCACTGATATTTGTCCCCTCCAAATAAACATCAGTTAATTCAAGTGATTGTGAAAATGGGATATTTCAATATACATAAAAAAGAAAATATCAATAAATACCATTTGGTGATATGCACTTGAAATGACATATAATATCAATATTGACTTGTGTTACTTAAACCAACATTCCTACTATATAGTCTTCCTTTAAAAAAAGAAAGCAAAACAATGTGTAGCCCTCTACACGTAGCTTAAATAAATAGTATGGCAAGCAGTTGGAAAGAATCTTTTGAAATATAAAATCTAACTTTTATATTAAATTTTTTCATAACCAACCAAGTTTAAGATTACTTATAAACTGGAGGGCTTTAAGGCATATTTTCGAAGGCCATTGTGATTTATCTAAACATGCAGTTATGTCCACATACAAAATGAACTGACCATAATTGTATCTTGGTTGTAACAGGTATCATTATAAACACATTTGTATTATTTGATAGACACTTTATAAATAAACTGTTAGCAGTGGTGACGTCTTACGCTTCTCCCTTTTTTCAATAGAGCAGGGTTTCTCCACAGCAAAGCACTATTAACACTTGGCACTAGGTAATTCTTTGTTGTGGGGGCTGTGCTGGGCATACTAGGATGTGTGGGAGCATCAGTAGAAACTTGACATGCTGGAGTCCAGGACTGGGAAGAAGACTGGCTGAATCATGACATCTCGTAATCCTTACTCTGATAACCGTGCTGATTTCTCCTGGCCTTCTAATTAGGTTTTCTTAAATTCATTTTGGTCATGGCTTTTGGCTTAAAGCATGTAAACAGAATTGAAGATGGGTCAAGCTCTAGAATCCAAACACTATGTGACTTTTATGAGATCACCAAGACATTTATCTACATGTTGCAATAAGGCCATCTTGAAATGCCCTTTCTTGCAGGGTCTTTTGTGTATTTTATTTGTTTTGAGTAAAAACATCGATATCAAGCTGCTTAATATTTGAAAGAAAAAAATTAGATAATTACTATTAGGAACACTCTCTTAAAATGGAGAATTAAAAGATGCACCTTTGATAGTGACAGCAGGTCCTGGTAATCTCCTCGGGAAAAAGGTATGTTTATTAGTTCAATGGCCACTTTCCTCAAATATTGCCCTACAGATTGGTATAACCAGAAGTTGCAATATCTGCTCTGATTTTAACAAAACTCACTGTGCTGATTGAAATGTGACTGCAGATAACTTGAACTATCCAGAAGCGAGTAGTGACATAAGAGTAGAGAGGTACTTCTTTGTGTATTGAAGAGCAAGTGCGTGTTTACCTTGTAGTTTTTTCTAGGCACTTTTAAAGCTTCTTTCCAACTTTCTTTTACTGTTGTAATAAAAAAGAGGAAAAGACACCCCAACTTTCCCCAGGATGTGGGGAGAAGAGCTCTGATTTTATTAATATAGTGACAAGAACCTATTACATTGTAAAACTCTCATAAAGGATGTGGTATCTGCTTCCAGGAAACCTTATCTGAAAGGCCCAAATGAAAGAGATGACAGAGGGACTACCGATCTGAAAAATAATAATATGTTTGGCCATCAAATCAAACTGGAAGATTAGTTATTCAAGTGGGTAAGACACACTGTTTATCTATAAGGACATAGCTGATTTTAGCACTTAAAGGAGTGGATCAAAAGGAAGTTGGTTGAATCATTTGACTAGCTCAGCCTTTCCTGTTGTGTTGGCCCCTTAAAGTGACAGTTCAGTGTGATTTCCAGTAGACTGGACAGCTTCCAAATTCTCAAACCCCCCAGTGATGTAAACCCTGTGTCAGAAGTAGCATTCTTCCATGCTGCACTCAGTCCAGCCCCTTCCTACAGCATCTTGGGACTAACATGAGACTTCAGTGAGGATGTTATTTTAGGGAAATTGACCAAATGGCCAGTTAATTTGTTAGTTCAGTTGATTTGTATTAAATAAACATAGATGGAATAGAGACTACGTACTGGGGCTGTATTGTGCGCTTTCAAAGCCACAGCTATTGAAGCTGTTTTATATTCCTCAAAGGAGAGGGTTTCACCAGGTGCTCAGAAATACTATTCAAGTGAATATAGACTAAGTTCTAGACATGTTACATCTTATGTCTGTTCCCTAGAATAAGACCCTATTGATCCTTGCAGACAAGCAAGAACAAACTCCAAGAATAAACATATCACCCCCAAAAATGTGCAGTGTGTCTGTTATGGGCTGAATTGTGTCCCACTCAATTCATACATTGAAGTCCTAACCCCCAATACCTTAGCATGTGATGTATTTGGAGATGGGACCTTTAAAGAGGTAATTAAGGTAAAATGAGGTCATATTGGGTGCACCTTAATCCAGTATGACTGATGTCCTTGTCCAAAGAGAAGATTAGGACACAGACACGTACTGAGGGAAGACCATGTGAAGAAACAGGAAGAAGATGGCCGTCTACACGCTGAGGAGAGAGGTCTCAAAGTAAAGCAACCCCACCAATACCTCGATCCTGGAGTTCTTGCCTTCCTAAATATGAACAAATAAATTTCTGTTGTTTGATCCCACCCAACTCCCAGTCTGTGGTACTTTGTTATGGCAGCCCTAAAAAATGAATATAATGGCCAAAAGTTTGCATAGAGAAAGATGTCATGTTCCTGGATCATATCTAAGTATTTTCTTAACACATGGGCTATGCTCCACTTATGAAATATAATAGAC